TACTGTTTTTGTAGAACTAATTTCTATCTGGAGGTTAAGCAACATTATTGTAATAATACTAAAAAAACTATTCATAAAACTAAACTAAACACAACTCCTTCATATACAGAGGATTTCACCAAAAAAAAAACCTACCTGCCTAAATGATTTTATAGGCTATAACTGTTTGAACCCGGTCCCTCTAATTGAAGGAAACTCTATAAACTATCAAATTCAAACGCAAACAATTTTGCTTTTAATAGTAAAAGACCATTACCTTCTTCCACCAAACATACTCTTCGATTGTACGGTCAACAAAATGATTGTTTGGATTGTCAAAAGCGATAAAAGCGTAAGCTTACAAAAGGCCTGTGTAGGTATCTAACCGTAATTTAGAATTGAAAATCTGTAATGGGAAAGTCAAAGCTTCAATGATGCGTTTGTCTTTCTATTAAGTTGAATGTCTTGGTGTGTGTTCGTCTGGCAAACATTTGTTGAACGTGATCTAACTTAAAAGGATGGATTTATGTTACTCTAGTAAATTTGGGACCCAAGTGAACCGAAGCGATTTACGAGTATGTGTCTTTTTAGGACTGACAAGATGGATGTTGCTACGTCTCGATCCTTAACTTCATAAAGTAATCAGGATCCAATTTATTGAACTGCTGCTATTGAATTAAATTACTTTCATCTTTATGATTACGATGGGTTGGAATTATTTGTCGAAGTTTTCTTCTTGCGATTATATAGATATTTAGGAGGTATTTTGAAGAATTGAAGATGATAGGTTGCACGCATAAATAATTTATACACTGTTAAACTTCTTTTATGCTGTTTCCTTTTTTTTACTGTACTAAGAGATAGTATTGATCATCTTTTATTTCAGATGAATATTCACAGAATTTATTAGTATTATTAGTATAATAATAAATTATTTGCCATAACATATTCATTATATTCACTAATGGACTAGAAAAATAGCAATGGCTGAAAAAATATGGCCTACATTTTTAAATTATTCCACAATTTTTGATGGTACATGATTGGAGACACACATTGAGGATGGTACTGAGTGTGTTTGCTATATAAGTGCCTTAAAAACAATTTCGCTTTTCTTACAGGTGGTCATCAAATTTGTCAAACCCGCTACTGCGGACTGAGCAGCACCATATCGTCCGCGTAACTTAGTTATATTTACTCAAACATGCTTGGAAATTTAAGGATTATTTTGATAACCTTCTTCGAGATAAATCGAATTTGCTTTACTGGCCACATAAATCTGTGATGTTTAGCAGTAGTACAGTCAATCTGTAGGTTGAGCGGTGAAAAAAAAACCTAAAGGGTAAGTCTTGTTTTTTCTGTTGCCAAATGACGTCAGTAAGCCACCTTGGCGATGGGCATGTTCAACTCGTAGGCGTTTTTTGAAAAACTCAAAAAAACCGTCAAAAATTTTTTGAAACGCATTTTTCTTGTTTTGTATGCATTTTAGAAACTTTTTTTTCGACCATAATTGTAGAGGGCGTTGAGTACTACAATTTATGTCAGTGTTGCAATCTCGTACAACAAAAAATGCGCATATAAATAGTAAAACGTACATTGAAATGTGCACTGCAAATGTGTACTTGAACTGCCCAAAACCGCTCTATTTAATTTTTCATACCTGCGCAATTTATAACTTGAAAACGGTAAGTAATACAAACAAATTGTTTATACAAAAGTTGTTGGTAATTATGTACGAAACAACTTTGCCATTTAAAGTTTTCCATTAAAATGATATTCTCCGGGGTGAAAAAGTGAAAAAACACTTTTTTTGAGACTTTAGCGCCACCTACAATGCGCATTTTTTGTTGTACGAGATGGCAACACTGACATAAATTGTAGCACTCAACGCCCTCTACAATTATGGTCGAAAAAAAAGTTTCTAAAATGCATACAAAACAAGAAAAATGTGTTTCAAAAAATTTTTGACGGTTTTTTTGAGTTTTTCAAAAAACGCCTACGAGTTGAATATGCCCGTCGGCAAGGTGGCTTACTGACGTCATTTGGAAACAGAAAAAACAAGACTTACCCCATAGGTTTTTTTTTTTTTCACTGAAACGATATTTTTTTCGACAGATTGACTGTACTACAGCCAAATAAATTACATAGAAAACTCATATCTGTCGTGCAATTTACAAATGGAACGATGTTTTACTTAGAATGGCAACCAAGAAGGTAACTTATCAAAGGTTTTATTTAACTTTCGGACTGACTTGCACATAAAAATAATTGTGTGCATGGACTACACATCGGGAATTATTTTTTTTTCTGAAAGAACCTTACATTAGACGGTGCATAAGGCATAGCGGAATGGAGCAGCGCGCACATCACTCATATACATGTAAAGATATATATTGTCGTGTATGACGCTCGTGAGGCTCGTAGCATTTCAGCCTTCGCCGAGTTACCCTCCAACTTTCATGCTCGTCGGGAAGAGCTGCGCACACACAAATATATATATATATATAATAATAATAAAACTCTTTATTTTACACCACAAAAAAATATAAAACATTATACATAATGGCTGCTTACAGTGTAAAAATGGGCGGCCTTATCGCTAAGAGCTCTTCCAGACAACCTTGGGATCGAGAGGACAAGAAAGAAGCTGGAAAGACGGCGGTGTAATTAACTGCAATAATATGCGAGACAATCTCTGTACAAACCGAGTATATAAAACAAATAAACACATATAAATACATAGATATACATACATACATAGGTAAATACATACATATATACATACATATTTAAAAAAAACATACATACCATATATATGTCTAATTCGGTGAGAGGAAATAAATACAATAGAAGAGCTATAAGGACAGATAGTGAGATCTTAGAAGGTTTTTGAATCTGTGCAGAGATTATGCACGTCTAATGGAAACTGGAAGCGAGTTCCATAAGCTGTTCGCTTGCACTGCGAATGAGCGGCCATAAATAGTTATTCCGTGCATAGGTGTAATAAGTATATATATATATATATAGTCCTGTAACGCTCGTGACGCATTTCCATTAAAAATGAAATGGATTATTCAGATTTCTTTACCTATCACTTTACAATATAAATCATAATCATTGCATTTTATTGAATTACCGTTTTTACCGCTGGTAGCAACATTATTAACCGATTATAGCTTATCACAAAATATAAATAAAAATTAAAGCAGACAGATCTGAACATAACATTCAATTTTCATATGAAATGAAATAGAGTTTTCTCGTAAAATTGGATTTCAAAGAATAGCGGGTCCGTTCGGGATAGGCGCTTGATTTATAAATATTTTTTGAATCGCAATAGAATATTGTGTTACCTACAAAAAGCCAAACAGTTTCCATTAAAGATATAAGTAAGAATTATTTTCTATAAAAATGAAGTCGCAATTTCTTTACTTCGTAAATAAATTAACTGAAGTACTTACACATAATTTAAACGGTGCTCGTCCTAGAAGAGATCATATATATATTTATATTGCTAGAAAAGACGATATATCATAACTTATTTACCAAGGCATTAAATTAAAAGCCACACACACGCTTTGTTTTATATGTAGGCGTGTAGATACATCGATGAATACTTTTGTCAATATTTTCAGTGCCATTTTCAGTAAGTACTAAGTTTGATAAAATAACCCACTTAACTTTTTATTTATTATCTACGATTGCACGATCGTAGAGGATAAATGCGCGCGATTTTAAGATCTTGTTCAGGCGATACGAGTACGCGATGCATATGTTACCGGCCAAACCCGATTTCAGGGAAAACTAGTTTTGCCTAGGCTAAACTAGTTCTTCCTATACGCGATAGGATTAACTAGTATAGCCTAGTCCAAACTAATTTGTCCTAAGCCCGATAGGATAAACCAGTTTAGCCTAGGCCAAACTAGTTGATACTGATATAAATACGCACACTAGGATAAACTAGTACGGCCTAGTCTAAACCAATTTAGCAGAGTCTAAAGTAATTGCACAAACATGTCAGGACTTGTATAGGTCGTGTCATCTAAAAAGAACGCTGGAAGAAAGTGGAGGGAGTGTGTTTACGCAGGGTACACTCGCACACATAAGTTATAGGCTTTTTATTTTGTGAGATGCAGCTGCTACAAAAACTGTTCCACAAACAGATGCCAATGAACGCAATGATACTTTGCAATTTGAGAAACCAAGAAGGCAATGATACTCTGCAATTTTAAGTGCCACCAAAGCACACCATGTAAAAATAAATAACAATTTTAATAATTGAGATATGAATATTGCGTCTATTAAAAAAACACATATTATTTGTTATAGTATGATTCTTTGTATTACAAATTATCCATAACTTTTAACGATGAATCATTATCGTTTTAATAAAAAATATTATTTTTCCAATTACAATTTTATTCAATTTATCTATTTATTTTGACTTTCTAGATATACTATAATGTTGACTAGGTCATACTAGTTTATCCTAGAGTATGCGTATTTGTATCAGGATCAACTAGTTTGGGCTAGGCTACACTGGTTTATCCTATCGGGCTTAGAACAAATTAGTTTGGACAAGGCTATACTAGTTAATTCTATCGCGTATAGGAAGAACTAGTTTAGCCTAGGCAAAACTAGTTTGTCCTGAAATTGGGTTTGGCCGGTAACATATATATAAGCTTCACCTTCATTATAATAATGTTTTGTCTGTTATTTATTCCAGTGCTACTACTGAGACAATATTATATTATGTATAAATAGTAGTATAAGTATAATGGATGAGAGCACTAGATTCCAAAGTACAAGCAACTGCCTATTTCGGTATACATGGGAATCAAATAATAATAATTGCGACATAGTATTCTGTCAACAATAACCGAATAATATTTATTTTAAATTAACATACTATTCAGATAATGACGATGAATGGATGCGATTTTGTAACCCCGATATTTGAGATGTGAATGGTGTTTATGTATTGGAAACATAATCTATGTTAATTTATTGATAATAAAAATACTGATGGATTAATCATTTTAATATTATGCTACATGGACACTCATAACAGATACATGCACTACGCTACACCAGTCATATAGAGGGCATAATGGTTTATGCACGTATCATTTTCGTATACGTTTTATTGTTGATTTCTCGAGGCCATGGTTCGGTAAGACTTTGATTTCTTTTTTAAAAACTTTCATGTAACTTGCATTGTATGTAACTATGTATATCTGGGTCAAATCTTGCAACTGAATTTTAAAGCATTTCGACGCTTGAAACAAATGTTGACTAAGCGACATTTTTGGTCATATTGAGCTAAGTATACAGTTCGAACCGTCTGATTTTGCGTCGATTTGTCGTTGTCACGTCTTTCTACGTCGACTTTTGATGTCGCTTATGCATGACGGATTTTATGAATTTTCAGTTTTTTTTTGTCTCTAAGAGACAAAAAACGTTTGGCATATTTTTAAAAAATGTCGGTAGTCGTAGCTATTACAAGTAAGTTTTGCCCTTGGTAATTATTTGCATGTTGTTGGTGCAATAATTTCTTTACTTAGATTATTTTGCTTACACGTGTAAATATAGTTTTATGCGTATGGTACACTTTTTCCCGACAAAGATTTGTTTTTTATAATCGCTTATCTCAAATTGACTGAATTCAAATTGTTTTTTGACGGCGTTTAGTAAAAAATGCCTATTTTATGTTTTAAACAACACGCCTTGTTCACCTTTGACTACTGATCTTATGGTGGTGTCCTTTCTGTCGGTTAGTAAATTATTACCTGCCGTTGTACAATATTATTTTAATATTTAGGTAAGTTTAACCTGAAGTTACGTTATTACTAATTGACGGTTATACCCTACAGGTACCTCACGCAAAGGCGTTTAAACTTTTTTTACTTGAATTAAATACATTGACAATATGTTGGTTATACCTACGGGAACCTAGTGCGCGCTCGCTTATACCTACCGTGTTAGCTTCAAAGTAACAAAGAAAGCGATGGGACGTCGTTTCGACATCACGCGCGCGTTCGTTGCAGCAAAGCATATGGAAACTGTAAGTTTACCACACGAACTTTTATTTGAATAGTTTTAATTGTTGTTCCTTTTAGAAAAAAGGATTATGTGTGTTTCAGATCAATGCAATAGAACGAAGAAAAAATGTATGTTATATTTTGGAACAAGCTCTCCAATGCTCGGGAATTAACGGTAATGAAGAGCTATTGGCCTCTAAAAAGTCTAGAAAAGTTTGCTCGAAAAACCGTAAGAACATCCAGCTAAATCTAAGGCATTGGAATCAAAGGAAAACAGTTATAATAAATCATAATTAAAAATATGTAATAAAATACTATCCAACTGCACTTCAGTTGTACTGACCGAGCGTCACGACGTATTACCGAGAATGAAGAGAACTATAACCATGAGGAAGTTTTTGATCAGACAAAGTTTGATTCTTATGATGGTGCAGGTTCTTCGACGATTTATTTCATCCCCCCGCAGAAAAACGAAATTGCCCCAACAAACTTACCTTCATTAGCTGATGTCGCCACAGATCCTGACCCTATGCACGAATCTAACCCACTAAAATCATTTTTGATGAATAAAGCCGCTGCAGATCCTGACCCCTGCAATGAAGAAACTGCCCCACCATACTTACCGCCGATAGATGACGCCGCCACAGAATCTAACCCCTTGCTGAAAGAAGAAACTGCCCCACCATACTTACTGTCGATAGATGATGTCGCCGCAGAACCTGCCCTCGCACAGAATGAAGAAACTGCCCCACCACACTTACCGTCGATAAATAATTCCGCATCAGAACCTGAACCCTCGTAAAATTAAGAAGAAACACGTATGGTGGGGCACTTTCTTGTCGACATATGATTCCGTTGCAGATTCTGACCCTTCGCAGAATAACATTACCCCAACAAACTTACATTTGATGAATGATACCGCCCCTGAACCTAAGCCCTCGGAAAATGAAGAAACTGACACACCATACTTACCGTCGATAAATGATGCCGCTGCAGACCCTGACCCCTCGCAGAACGACGAAACTGCCCCATCACCTCACCTTCGCTGAATGATGCCACCACAGATCTTGAGCCCTCCAAGAATGACGAGACATTCCCACCATACTAACCTTCGATAGATGATGCTGCCGCAAATGATTCGCTACACGAGGAAATAATCTCATGTACAAAGAACTAACCTCTGATGGTGCTGTTCCAGGTATATGTAATGTCAAAACAAGTACCCGATACATGGACTACATGTCTGATGAAGATTTCTCCACCGTATTTGGGTCTACTGTAACTGATTCCGATGAATGGGCAGGATCGTAAGTGTTAGATAGTAGTAAATAACAAATCCGGACAAATAAGAAGAAAACACAAAATAAACTCAAAAAATAAACGAAAACTGTTGAACAAAAATAAAAGTGGTGAGAAATTCAATAATGTTACAAAAAAGGTTGGTTGGCATGACTATTAGAGAACGCGTTCAACATAATCGTTTTGATTCAGAGAAGCGTTCTAATACATTTAGGTATTATATTACTGAAGGAGAAGGGAAAAAGAGTTTTATGCTTACAGTTTTTGGCAGCAACGTTAGATATATTGAAAAATGTATATATTATACTGTTAGAAATGCTAATTGTGGAAGTTCTAGAGACGACTTGCGCAGAAAGTGTGAACTACCTAACAAAACTAAACCTACTAAAGAGACTGTCGTTAATTTTATAAAATGTCTACCAGCAGTCACATTACTGTCGTCAAGATTCCAACAGAGTTTATTTACCTCAAGAATACAAAAATGTTTCCAGCTTATACAGCAATTATAGGAAACGCTTTGTGAATGCTGGCATAGATTTAGTAAGTGAAAGGATTTTTAGAAAAATATTTACTGAAGAGTTTAATATCGCGTTCCATATTTTCAAGAAAGATAAGTGCTTGAAGTGCCTACAACTGCAACAGGCAGATATTAATAATTCAAAGAAAGAAGAAGAAAAGGAAGATCATGAAACTGAAAAGAAGAAAGCTTCAATAAATTTTCGACTGATAAATCTATATCTGGTAAAATGACAAAAGTTCGTATCGAGACATTCAAAAAAAATAGACCCTTGACAATTTCCATAAAATAATCAATGAATATTTCTGCAAACTCTTTTGACGTTAAAGTTCAATCCAAAACCAAGGTTCCATTAATGTCTTGCTAGCGATCACAGTTGTCGATATCAAATGCTAAATACGACGATCTTAGGAAACTTTGCACAGATCAATTAATACCCGCTCAATTCCATCAAGAGTACTCAATTATACCATAGGCAAATAATGTTAAAGATTCTTTACTCGAATCAGAAGATTACGAATTTTTGACTGATTAGCTGGGTATTTTGAAAAAGTTCTCCCTAATTATGTTTTATATAAGTCTTCTTAGAATTCTTTTTTGTATTACAGCTCACAGGCTTTATTTTTTACATATTTTACATACCATTTTAAGTGGGTATAAAACTTTATTATTCTTATTAAGTAAAGTCCTAAAGTATAATGTTAATAATTAATAGGGACTGTAAGTCTTAAAGTTGATTTATATTTTATTTAGAACTACTTCAAGAAATATTCCTACTAAATATAGCTCAATACTATTTATAACTGCATTTTTCTTTATATTTCTGTTAACATTTAATGATCCTAATTTCGATGACAAGTATTACTAAGTAAAATTTGCTGAGAAAGAACAATAATTAAAAAATAATTTAGACAATTTTGACTCCATTTGAAACCACTTGTGATTTTGGTTAGGTAACTTTTGCTTTGATATAATTTTTTACAGCTCCTCTATATTACATTTTGACTTTACATTTCTAAATCAAAACTTGTCGGTTAGTACATTTTTCCCGTCACTATTTTAAGGTAAAATTTTCTAAGCGACACTTTACTTTTGAATCAATAACGTTCTTGAATTGTTGTTTAAGCTTCGATATAGACCATAAAATAAGATTTCCGAATCAGTCAGAATTGCGCCCGTGGGATGATTGCAAAAAGACGATTTTTTTTCTGAAAATCCAAACTTTAAACTGCTCTCCTGTAAAATTAGCTTAATGTCGCTTTGTCAATATTTCCTTTCAAGCGTCGATTTATTCTCAACCGATTGAGATGTAATTTGCCTTGATGTTCAGTGATGTCATTCTAAATCCAATATGGTGGACGCTTCAATAACTAGTATTTTTTGCGCTCCTATGATATCAAATGAAAGGGTTGTTTTGTAAAAATATTTTTTAAATATGAATGAAAAAATGAATTATACTTATGATTCTAATTACTAACATATATGATTATTTAATAGTAAAATCCAAGCATCTGAAGCAATTTTAAAAATCCATTGGTATACTGCGTTTTTAATTCAAAATAATACTACTTAAGTAAATCAATTACGTTCACCTTTTATTATATTTCACCTGAAGTTTGCCCAAGGGTGATAAACTCTCTAACGTTTGTAAGAAAATTATATTCAATGAATCAATTAAATTACTTATTGTAAAATTAATTTGTATCAAACATTGAATTCTATCTCCTTTTGATTGATAACACCTTGTGTTTCGAAAATAAGTCAATTTGCTTAAATAATATGAATACTCGTATTTGATTAAACAGTAACAAACTATTTATAGAAAATGGGTACAAAATATAGAGCGTTAAACCGATTGTATTCATAAAACGAGTCCACTATAGTATTTGCATGTAAAAGTTTGTTTCTGTGGACGAAGTTTTCTATACAACTTGCAGTGTATGCGAATGTGCCCGCAAGAATTCGAATATGGGTGGACAAAGGCTTTGAATACTGCAATAAAATTGTATTGGCGAGTGCACTTTTGACCGTTGTAAATGCAGAAAATGGTGTCAGAAGTCTTTATTTGCATAAAATATGGTGTACATAAGATTTAGACATTTGTGTTTAATGTTATGTTACACATTCAGTGTAAAACTAATTTTCGGTGAAAGTTTGCATGGTAATGTATATCATATTTTTTTTTTTTAGTTTTATCATCTCAATATTATTTTTGAAGACCTATCCATAGATACCCCTCATCTATGGGTTTGATGAAACAAAAATTTGAATTTCAATTGTAAGTATGGGGAACCCCCAAAATATATTGTTTTTTTT